TTTTAAATATTTTAGTTATGAAGGGTTTATACTATTTTAGTATGAATAGAGAATAAACACTCAAGCCCATATGGGACAAACAAAATGAGAGGAAAAAAATATTCATAACTGAAACAGTTAAAACAGTAAAATTCTATTCTAATGATACAATGGAGTGTGAACTTGCTTTGTATTAATTAAACTCAATGTAATGGCATTTTCTATATTGAAATGAATAACCAGTGATCTGGAAATTCATTTAGACCATTAGGTTAATTACAGAAACTGATGGAAGTTTTATCAGACAATTACAATTAAAGAACACTAACAATGTGGGACAGATTTATAAGCATTTGTACCACCTCAATCATTTTTACTGAATTCTACCACCACTTCTTACAAAATTGTAATCAATGTATCAATTAAAAAATGGGCCATCAACTTCATTTGGACTTGAGTATGATAAAATAAAAAAAACCCTGATGTCTGAATTTTCATATTTTTTCTTCTTTTAATTCTATCACTTCCCCGCAATATGAAAGATTTATTTAATTTTAATAAAAAATGAAAATTTATGGAAAAAGAGCATGTATATTTTGGAGCCGATGAGCATGCTTACTGAAGATGAAACAACTCTAAGAAAAAGTAAGCCAAAATTGACATCAGTTTAAAATCTACTCATTCAGTCAAGGCAAAACTCTCTTCTATGGGCATGCAAAACATTTGGGAAATACAGGCACTCATCTGCGCAAGATTCTGACCAAAGGCATGTAGCAATTTACTATTTTACCATATATGCTAGCTATTCAGTCCAGTGACCTGTCCCTTTAATATTTCCTCAGATTACTAGTAGTTACATTACTTGGGGCTAAAATAAAGACTAAAAGTTACAAAGCTCTGATTTAGCAAGTGAAAAATATTTAGCTGCCTTTGAACTTTCATTACAATCTGTCATCTCTCCCATTGCTTTCCATGGGACCTGGGTATGCCCAACTGTACATGTTTGAAAAATGGGATGCACAGCTTTAGGCTGGCTTCCTCACCACACCGGACAGTGCTCAGTGAGCCCAAGAATGTCCATTAGCTATTCCAGAGCACAAAACAGTTTTCTACTGGCTGGTGCATCTCCTTTTCCATTCCCTGCTGCGAAAGGACAGGGGGGTTATTAAGAAAATGGAGGCAGGGTCTTCACAGGCAGACACTGGGAAGACAAGAGACAACAAACATAACTTGAAAGAAGAGAGATTTCCGCTGTTAGGACATTCGAGCATTGGAACAGATGACCCAGGAAGGCTGTGCAGTCTCCATCCTTAAAGGTGCGCTGGTGCGACCTGGTCTTTCCAACGTGAATTTTTCTATGATTCTATGACTTCACGTCCTCCTTCTTTCCCTTGTTTTGGCTCTCATTAAGTTCTATTTCATTCACATTTTCAGGCACTTCTATGTTACAGAAAAATGGGGAAAATAGGCACTAAACAGTTTTTAAAAGTCCCTGCATAAATTCAGATTCATACTTTTGCCTTTTTAAACCATACATACCCAGCTCTATTACTGTCCTTTGTAGAACAGTGATACAGATATTCAGTGTCAGAATTTTTTTCTTCTTTTGAATCTTCCTTTTCTCCAGCAGGGTCTTAATATTCTCATGGATCCTAGTCTTGAGTGGCTTCAATTTGGAAAAGTTCCAAAATTTTTCTTGATACATTTCTTATTTAACAGTAGATACATAATTCTTCAGGATTTTAAAATTTCCTGTGGAAGCAACTAGTCTAAAGAAGTGGGGGCAAAAAGAGACTGTCAGTTACATGCAGCCAAACTGTTTGATTTACTGTTTCAGTGAGGTATCATGGGCCTCCAAGGGAGCTTCCAGCGAATGCTTGCTTACTCGCTGGGACTTGGTGTATGCTAATCTTTACTTTCTGGATATATCTCCTTCCAATACCTGTCTACACTCTTCATTAGGATAACGATGAAGGATTTAACTGAATTTAGTTGTATTAGTCCTGTCCTCAAGATGTCAATAACATGGGAATCTACAGCAGCCAAGATGAGACCATGAGCTTCCTTATTTTGGTTATCTCAACAAGGCAAAGAATCTGTCCCACCAAGGGGTGGGAACATATTTGCATGCTGAAACTAAGATTTCTACATAACAAATTATCTATTCCCAAAATAGATGTGCAAAAACTGATCCAGGTCCCATCTTCTGCTTCAGCATAAGAGAACAGATGAGGCATGAGAGACTATTGCTACTGATTTGTTCCACTGCTTGCAGAAGAAACAGCTCATTTCTTTCTGTATTATGCGAAGGGCCTGAAGTGATGGAAGGAAGCAGAGCCATGTTTCCATCTCCTGACATATTCAGAGGTGTAACTAATCACTGTACTGGGAAATTTACAATGTGATACATAAAATATATCCTGAGGAAATCAAATATAAGATTTTTTGAAAGAGTAGCTCCAAGAAATGCACTCTTCTTTCTGGCTAGCCAAAAAAAAATCGGGTAAAATGTTCAAAGTCATCAGAGACTACTAGTGACCAATACAATGAAAAGTCCAAAAGTTACATGAGAAACAAAGCCAAATTAAGTAAAATGTTTTACAGCCATATTTCAGTCCTTCACTCCTTATAGAATATAACTTGTAAGCAGAAGATGAACAGTCAAGTTCAAGACAACATTTCTACATATGGGGACTATCCTCTTGCAAATATCTGAAAAATTCCTAAATGCCATTAGCATTTATTGATTTCCAAACCTCTCAGATGGCTTTAAACATCTCAG